GACGAGAAGGCACCGAGCCCAGTTGAGCCAGATGATGAAACACTCAGCCCAGTCAAGACTGAAGAGAAGGCACCCAGTCTAATCAAGCCTGAAGACCCAGTCAAGCCTGACGAGATGGCACCAAGTCCAATCAAGTCCGACGAGAAGGCACCTGGCCCAGTTAAGGCAGATGAAAAGGCACCCAGTCCAATCAAGCCTGACGAGAAGGCACCTAGCTTGGTTCAGGCCGAAGAGAAGGCACATAGTCTAATGAAGTCTTATGAGAAGGCACCGAGCTCAGTTGAGCCGGATGAGAAAACACGCAGCCCGGTCAAGACTGTTGAGGAGGCACCTAGCTCAGTTAAGGCAGATGAGAAGGCACCCAGTCCAACCAAGCCTGACGAGAAGACACCGAGCCCAGTTGAGCCGGATGAGAAAACGCCCAGCCCAGTCAAGACTGATGAAAAGGCACCCAGTCTATTCAAGTCTGAAGAGCCGGTCAAGCCTGACGAGAAGGCACCTAGCCTGGTTCAGGCCGATGAGAAGGCACATAGTCTAATCAAGTCTGATGAGAAGGCACCGAGCTCAGTTGAGCCGGATGAGAAAACACGCAGCCCGGTCAAGAGTGATGAGGAAGCACCCAGTCTAATCAAGCCTGACGAGAAGGCACCAAGCCTAGTTAAGGCAGATGAGAAGGCACCCAGTCCAATCAAGCCTGCTGAAAAGCAACCTAGCCCAGTTCAGGCAGACGAGAAGGCACCCAGTCAAATCAAGCCTGATGAAATGGCACAAAGCCCAGTCAAGGCAGATGAGGAGACACCCAGCCCTGTCAAGCCGGATGAGACAACACCCAGCGCAATCAAGACTGATGAAAAGGCACCCAGTCCAATCAAGCCAGACGAGAAGGTACCTGGCCTGGTTGAGGCAGATGAAAAGGCACCCAGTCCAATCAAGCCTGACGAGAAGGCACCTAGCCCAGTTAAGGCAGATGAAAAGGCACCCAGTCCAACCAAGCCTGACGAGAAGGCACCAAGCCCTGTTGAGCCGGATGAGAAAACACCCAGGCCAGTCAAGACTGACGAGAAGGCACCTAGCCCAGTTAAGGCAGATGAGAAAGCACCCAGTCCAACCAAGCCTGACGAGAAGGCACCAAGCCCTGTTGAGCCGGATGAGAAAACACCCAGCCCAGTCAAGCCTGACGAGAAGGCACCTAGCCCAGTTAAGGCAGATGAGAAAGCACCCAGTCCAACCAAGCCTGACGATAAGGCACCGAGCCCAGTTGAGCCGGATGAGAAAACGCCCAGCCCAGTCAAGACTGATGAAGAGGTACCCAGTCTAATCAAGCCTGAAGAGCCGGTGAAGCCTGACGAGAAGGCACCCAGTCCAATCAAGCCCGACGAGAAGGCACCTACACCAGTCAAGGCTGATGAAAAGGCACCCAGCCCCGTCACGCCTGATGAAAATGCACCCAGCCTAGTCAAGACTGATGAGAAGGCACCCAGTCCATTTAAGCCTGACGAGGAGGCACCCAGTGTAATAATTAAGCCCGACGAGAAGGCACCTAGCCCAGTTAAAGCAGACGAGAAGGCACTCAGTCAAATCAAGCCAGACGAAAAGGCACTGAGCCCAGTTGAGCCGGATGAGAAAGCCCCCAGCTCAGTCAAGACTGATGAGAAGACACCCAGCCTAGTCAAACCTGACGACGAAGAAGTAGTGGATGACAAGCTTGAGGAGAAGGTGCCTGGTCCAATCAAGCCTGACGAGAAGGCACCGAGCCCAGTTGAGCCGGATGAGAAAACACCCAGCCCAGTCAAGACTGATGAGAAGGCACCTAGCCCAGTTAAGGCAGATGAGAAGGCACCCAGTCCAATCAAGCATGACGAGAAGGCACCGAGCCCAGTTGAGCCGGATGAGAAATCACCCAGCCCAGTCAAGCGTGACGAGAAGGCAACTAGTCCAGTTAAAGCCGATGAGAAGGCCCCCAGCTCAGTCAAGACTGATGAGAAGACACCCAGCCTAGTCAAACCTGACGACGAAGAAGTAGTGGATGACAAGCTTGAGGAGAAGGTGCCTGGTCCAATCAAGCCTGACGAGAAGGCACCGAGCCCAGTTGAGCCGGATGAGAAAACACCCAGCCCAGTCAAGACTGATGAGAAGGCACCTAGCCCAGTTAAGGCAGATGAGAAGGCACCCAGTCCAATCAAGCATGACGAGAAGGCACCGAGCCCAGTTGAGCCGGATGAGAAATCACCCAGCCCAGTCAAGCGTGACGAGAAGGCAACTAGTCCAGTTAAAGCCGATGAGAAGGCCCCCAGCTCAGTCAAGACTGATGAGAAGACACCCAGCCCAGTCAAACCTGACGACGAAGAAGTAGTGGATGACAAGCTTGAGGAGAAGGTGCCTGGTCCAATCAAGCCTGACGAGAAGGCACCGAGCCCAGTTGAGCCGGATGAGAAAACACCCAGCCCAGTCAAGACTGATGAGAAGGCACCGAGCCCAGTTGAGCCGGATGAGAAAACGCCCAGCCCAGTCAAGACTGATGAAGAGGTACCCAGTCTAATCAAGCCTGAAGAGCCGGTGAAGCCTGACGAGAAGGCACCCAGTCCAATCAAGCCTGACGAGAAGGCACCCAGTCCAATCAAGCCTGACGAGAAGGCACCCAGTCCAATCAAGCCCGACGAGAAGGCATCTACACCAGTCAAGGCTGATGAAAAGGCAACCAGCCCCGTCACGCATGATGAAAAAGCACCCAGCCCAATCACGGCAGATGGGAAGGATCATAGCCCAGTCAAGCCTGTAGAGAAAGCATATAGTTCAGTCAAACCTGATGAGAAGATGGCTAGTTCAGTCATGCCTGATTACAAACCAATTGTGGATGACGTACTTGAAGAGAAAGCACCTAGTGCACCCAAACTTGATGAGAAAGCGCCTAGCCCAGTCAAGCCAGATGACATAAAACCTGTAGCTGATATGTTTGATGAGAAGGTAGTAGGTAGCTCTCTCAAGTTTCAAGACAAAGAGGAGACTTCTTTCAAATCAGAAGAGATGTCATTGGATAAAGAAAAACTAGACAATGGATATATAAGTCCAAGCATTTCTGTACAAGAAGTAGCTTATTCATTCTTTGATGATGCAGAACTTGAAGAAAGACTGAAAGATTTTAAGCCCATGGGAGACTCGGAAGAAAAAACTGTAACGCAGTATTTGACGGTTACTGAAAGAGGTGTTGTAATTGTTAGGACTTTTATAATTACTTCTATTGTTCAGAAGTACTATAGCATTACTAGAACTACAATAATTTACAAAATCGTGATTAACACTATTGAAGAAGACGAGCTGCCAGATGGTACTAAAGTCAGGCGTACATACAAAAAAACTACGTTGAGTGATACCAAGCCCAGTGTTGAACAACTTTTGCAGCTTTGTTCTCTTCAAATGATTGACGAAGAACACCATAAAGAAACACAGGAAATTGTGAAGAAAGTAATAAAACCTGTAGAATTAGGTGTCATTTCAGTTCTACCGACACCAATTCCCAAAGAGTCAAGCGCCGTAGAAGACGGTGACTTCTCTATTGCATTCAAACCAGGTGAAAAAGAGCCAAAATCTGTTGCACCTAGCCAGAAGGCTGACAAAAAAGATATAAGCCCCACAAAGGCTATTGAGAAAGCACCTATTCCAATGAAGCCTGATGATTTTGAGAAATTATCTATTACAGAAACAGGAGTGGATGTTGTAGATGATGAAGATTTTGAATCAATTAGTAGACCCATAGAAGACAGCACTACAAAAACCGAAATAGTTACTGAAGACGGTGCAATGATTCAGAGAAAGATCACTGTCACCACTACTACACAAGAATTCATCAACTCGGCTCAAACTGTTAAGCGTATCAAAACGACAATTAGAACCGTAGTAGAAGATGAGCATCCAGATGGTTCTGTCATCAAGAAAACTAGTGAAAAAATAACATTAGCAGATGAAAGTATTGTAGAGGAAACAGATAATACTGATGAGGCCGACAATGCAAAGATTGAAGAAATTCTTAGCAATCTTACTCCATCAGAACCTGAAATCACCGAAGACGTTAAAATTGAAGAAATCACTGAAAATAAAATCATAATACAGAGAACTATTGTTACTAAGATCATTAAAACAAAGTACTCTGACATTCGTGGTGTACCACACAAAGTTAAAACAGAAACTATTGTAACTACAAGTGATAAATATCCTGATGGAACAACAAAAACGACTGTTGATACAAGTATTACAATTACAAACTTTAGCATTGAAGAACATCTAACAAAACCACATCCCGAGGAAAGCACTGTTAGCAAACAGAAACCAGACACGCCTGATGAGAAAGCAGCTAGGCCAGCCAAGCTTGATGAGAAGGCTACTAGCCCAGTCAAACCTGATGAGAAAACACCTAGCTCAGTCCAATCTGATGAGGTAGGATCTAGCCCAACCAAGCTTGATGATAAGGCGCCTAGCCCAACTAAGTCCGATGAGAAAGCACCTAGTTCAGTCAAGCCTGATGAGAAGCCACCTAGCCCAGTCAAGGCTGATGAGAAGGTACGTAGCCCAATTGAGCATGAGAAGAAAGTAGCTAGCCCAGTCAAGCCTGATGACAAGGCACCTAGCCTAGTCAAGCCTGATGAGAAGGCACTTAGCCCAGTCAAGCCTGATGAGAAGGCACTTAGCCTAGTCAAGTCTGATGAGAAGGCACCCAGGTCAGACAAGCCTGATGAGAAAGCACCTAGCTCAGTCAAATTTGATGAGGAAGCACCTAGCCCAACCATGCTTGATGGTAAGGTGCCTAGCCCAATTAAGCCTGATGAGAAGCCATCTAGCCCTGTCAAGCCTGATGAGAAAGCACCTAGACCAGCAAAGTCCGATGAGAAAGCAACAAGCCCAGTCAAGCCTGATGAAAAGGCACCTAGCCCAACTAAGCCAGATGAGCAAGCACCTAGCCCTGTTAAACCCAACGAGGAAGTATTCAGTCCGAGCAAGCTTCTTGAGAAGGAGCCAAAATCTGATAGTGAAAAGGATCGACGATTAGAAAAGAGTGAAGGTTCTACAAAGGAAATGCAAAGAAAATCCAAAGATGATGAAAAGGACATTGATGAAAAGGAATATCTTGATGAACCTACTCATATTACAAGTGGTAAGATGATACCTGAGAAAGAGATTTCACCCAAAATTGAGGATATAACAGATCATACTGTTGATGATGAAATCGTTCCAAAATCTATAAATATAATAGAAACAAAATTAGACAAGCATCCAATAGATAAAAAAGTGGACATTCTTGATGTAGACACGGATGAAAAGGAAATTTACGAAGATGGTGAGTCAGTAAGTGAAGATAGTCAAGTATTAGAAAAAGTTGATGATAAGCACATTTCCGTTACAACAACAAAGATGCAGTCCCTAATTAGTCAATCTGAAGAAATGCTGAAACAAGAAAAAATGGCTATATCTCAGTCACATCACACAATTAAGCCTCACGATATCAAAAAGAGATCTATCGTGGATGAAAAATACACACAAGAAATGATTGAGAGCATAACAGATACTCACACTCCTATTCCACATGGCAGCAGCTCTGAAGATGTATCTAGAGAAACGAGCCTTGAAGAAAAATATAGTTTCGAAGGTACTGAAAAATCAGAAAAGAAATCCCTTAAAGATAAGTTATATTCTGATGAAACATTAAGTCATAAAGTGGATTCATTAACTATTGATGACTCAGTTACTTCAACGTTGAAGGATACGGATTCCACAAGAGTTCATGATGACAAAACTCAAGAACTCGGATCACCTAAGGATGAAATTCCTTTATCTGAAGCATCTGATTCAGGAGTTCACAGTATACCGACAGATTTAGGACCAAGTGACGAAAAAATTGTGGTGCAAGCAATGAAAGATAGTGCTGTGCATCTTATGGAATCTATACATAAGGCATTTGAAGAAGATACTGTGCAACAAGGAATCAAAACTGAAAGCATTGAATCCTTAGTCAGGGTATCTACTCCCCCAACAGTTCCAGTAAGTCCGCTTCCTAAAACTCCTAGTAGCTTCCAAGATGTGAAGATTAGTGATGGAGTTCAAAGTGAAGTTACATATGACAAGTCTGATGGCAGTGAAGAAACTATTACAAAAGTGGTCCATGTAGGAGATGACGTACTCACACAAAGAATTTCAACATCAACTGAAAAGGTACCCAAAAAGACGACAACCCTAGCAGACGATGAATCAGATCTCTTATCTCTAATGCAAAACGTAGGAAAAATCAAAACTGAAACTGATACTGTAACAAAGATTATCAAAGAAGGTGAAAATGTTGTAACACAGACTATAACTACCGTGACTACTAAAGAAGTAATCTCAAGAGAAGATGAGACACCTCAAAACATTAAGACCACTATAGAAACTACAACACTTAGCAAAGGATCTGATGGTTCTACAACTACAACAAAAGACACACAAACATTACTATCAGAATGTTCTTCCAGCCTTAGATCTACCTCATCAATGGATTTATATGCAAAAGATAGAATAGATAAAGATTATTTGGAAAACGAAGAAAAGTTTGAAATTCGTGATTTGACTGATAAACGTGAGTCTTCCGTGCCTAAAGATGTAGAATCTCTCAAATCCTTTTTAAGTGAGACTGATGAATCAGACGACAATGTTGAAGATACAATTATTGATACGGATGTTAGTAAACGAATAATTAAAGAAAATAACAAAGACGTTATGGAAACTGTAACAACAACAACCAAAAAGGAAACAATCAAGGTCAGTGACATCAAAAAATTGATCCGAACAACAATTGAAACAAATGTCACGAAAGAACATCCTGATGGTTCAAAAGATGTTCAGAAAAACGTTGAAGTTAAGACTGAAGAAATTATTTTAGATTCTAGCAGTAATTTAGATAACATTCTTAGCGAATTTGTAATTTGTGGTGAGCCTGAAGAAAGTGTTACATCCAAAACAGAGGAAATTAAACAAGAGACCTTTACCATAAGACGTACAATTGTCACAAGAATAGTTAAAATCAAATATGCAAATAAACAAGGTGTACCCAAAAAACTCAAGACTGACACAACTATTACCACCACAGACGATTACCCTGATGGATCATCTCGCACTAAAGTAGATAGTAGTACATCACTGACCGATATTGACGTAGAACCCGTAGAAACCCTTGAGCTCCAGGGCATGGTTTTAGTTGAAGACAAATCAGTTGATAGTGATCAGTGCGAAAAAAGTATTACTATTAATGGAAAAAATGCTTTGCAAATTATAACAACTACAACAACAAAGGAAATTTTGAGTAATATTGATAGAACTAAGAGAAAGCTCAAGACCACCGTTGAAACTGTGACAGAAACTATGCTTCCCGACAGTACTACAGAAGTTACGAAGGATGTCAAAGTTTCTGTTTCAGATATCGGTATAGATGCTGTAGATGAAAGTCTCGAAGGCTTTGAATCAATTGGCAAACCCATGGAAGACACCACTACAGAAACCGAAATAGTTACTGAAGACGGTGCGATTATTAAAAGAAAGATTACTATTACCACGACTACACAAGAATTCATCAACACAGCCCGAACTGTTAAGCGTATCAAAACAACAATCAGAACCGTAGTAGAAGATGAGCATCCAGATGGCTCTGTCATCAAGAAAACTAGTGAAAAAATAACATTAGCGGATGAAAGTATCGTAGAGGCAACAGATGATACTGATGATGCAAAGATTGAAGAAATTCTCAACAGTTTTACTCCATCAGAACCTGAAATTACCGAAGATGTTAAAACTGAAGAAATCACTGAAAATAAAATCATAATACAGAGAACTATTGTTACTAAGATCATTAAAACAAAGTACTCTGACAGTCGTGGTGTACCACACAAAGTTAAAACAGAAACTATTGTAACTACAAGTGATAAATATCCTGATGGAACAACAAAGATGACTGTTGATACAAGTATTACAATTACAGACGTTAGCATCGAAGAACAACTAACAAAACAAAAAGCACATCCTGATGAAACTAAAGCCACCAAATCGGAAGACAAGCCCTCAAAACCAGTCGTTAATGGTGTTCATGAAGAACCTGAATTAGCTAAACAGATATTAGGTAAACCCAAAGTAACTGACAAGTCTCCTATGGAAGCGGAAACGCCAATACATGACGATGAGAGCTCTTCGGAAAGCAGCAAAGTGGATTCCGCTCTAAAAGAATTTATTCCTGTAGGTGAACCTGAAATAAGTGAATCTAGCGAGTCCGTTGATGTTAAAGAGAAAGATATAATCATTAAAAGGATCATTGTAACCAAAATAATCAAAACGAAATATTCTGATAAACAAGGTAATCTCAGAAAACTCAAGACTGTTACGATTCTCACTACAACTGATAAGTATCCAGATGGTTCAGCTCGTACAATTGTTGAAAGTAGCACTTCAGTTACCGATATAGAAGTTGAAACTGCAGATGATGTTGATGGTTTTGATCCCATTGGAGAACCAATCGAGGACACCACTACTGAAACCAAAACTATAACCGAAGACGGTATTATTATAAAAAGAAAAATAACTATCACTACAACTGTGCAAGAGTATACTAACGGAGAACAAAACATTAAACGAACTAAAACAACAGTAAGGACAGTAATAGAAGATGAACATCCCGACGGGTCTGTTGTCACTAGAGCTAGTGAAAAGATCTCATTAGTAGATGAAACTCTTAAGGCTCACGAGCCTACTGCTGAGGAACAGGCTGAAATGAAAAAGTTAGAAGCTGCACTTAAAGATTTATCGCCCTCAGGTGAACCTGAAATAAGTGAAGATATAGATATCGAGGAAATTAAGGAAGATGGAATACAAATAAAAAGAATTATTGTAACTAAAATTGTCAAGACAAGGTATATGGACAGCCAACACGTTCTCAAGAAACTAAAAATAGTAAAAACTGTTACAACAACCGATGAATATCCTGATGGTGCTGCGAAGACTACTGTAGATACTAGTACATCAATATCTGAAATCAAAGAAGACCAAAAAGATATCCCAAGTCAACACATTGTAGGTTATGAGCAAGTTGGTGATGTACAAATTAATGTCGAGACTAAACATAATTTGATATTAAGAGATGGAAAAGAACTTCAACAAATAATCACAATTAAGACAACAAAGGAAGTTCTAGAGTCACAAGATGGAAAGAAGAAAGTAAGAACTACAGTAGAAACTGAGAGTCAAATTGGACTACCTGACGGAAATACAGAAATAACAAGAGACAAGAAAGTAACACTCGACGATTACAAATCAGAAACATTTTACGAAAATCTTGTAGGATACATTGAAATTGACAAACCAAAAGAATCAGTGCAAACTGCTGAAGATTCTATTACAGAAAATGGTATAAAGATCATTAGGAAAATTACAGTCATAACGACTGCACAAGAATTTGAAAACACTGTTACCCGTTCTAGGAAGATTAAAACAACAACCAGAACTGAAACCGAAGATGAATATCCTGATGGTACTGTAATAACAAAAAAGAAAGTAACTGTTACAATTACTGATGTGACTGGGCATTCATACAAAAAGCATGAAGACGTCCCAGAACGACCAGATGACTTGCCCATTAGCGATACAGAAGTCGTTGAAAGTATGACTGAGGATTTCGATGTCAAAAACGAAATATTACAGCGTGGATCTATTACAATAAGGCGCAAAATCACAATAGCGACAAAACGAGAATTCTTGGCTAGCAACGATGTGAATATTAAGCGCGTCCGAACGACTGTTGAAACTACAACTGTGGATGAATTCCCTGATGGTGCAACAGAAACAACGAAAGATGTAAAAATAACGATCTCGGAATTCCAAAAGACATCAGACAGTGATTTACAAGCGGCATTGCAAGGATTAGAACCAACAGGCAAAGTTAAAACATCTGTTGATAAAAAGACTAATATTATCAAATCCGACCATGGCGAAAAAATAACTCAGACAATTACAACAAACGTCACTAAGGAGGAACTTTGTCATTGTAAAACGAACGACGTTGCCGTCAAAACAGTAACGGAAACTATAACTGAAAATGCTAAAGACGATGGCACAGTGGAAACAACGAAAGATGTTCGCACACAAATCACATATCTACCTCCAGGAACAGGGCTCGATGATTGGTCTCCAGAAGAACTGGAAGAAATAGAGAAGCAACCGGTTGCTCAAGAAGAAAGGCAAATTCTGGATAACGTGCCCGGTGATACTCAGAAACCAACTGATATAAAAGAAAAGCCAGAGTCTAAGCCCAAGAAACAACGCTCACCAGTTGGAGAAATAACCACTGACACGGAAACGTACACCAAAGTTATCAAAGAAGGAGATAATGAAATAACACAAACTATAACTGTTGTCACAACCAAAGAAGTAATCAGTCCCGAAAAAATTAAAATAACCGTTGAAACCACTACAGTTAGCAAAGGAAGCGACGGTGTCACTAAGACCACAAAATCTACAAAAACCACTATTTCCGAATTTCGGGAAGAATACGAAGAAACTGTAGACACTGGTGAAAGTGAAAAATCATTCTCCAAACTCTCTTCAAAAACTGGAGATATGCGCAGTTCGTCAGCAGCGAGCGACGACTTAGATCACCCTGGTATATCTTCACCGCCATCAGATATAAGCTCAAGAGGGTCCAGAGCTGCTACTCATATCTGGGGCACAGAGAGCAGCGGAATGTATTATAGTGATGAAGACGGTCAGGGTAGTCCCAGCAGTACAAAATCTCAGATCGCACATTCACCGAGATCAAACCTCAGCTTTGAGTTAGACACGGCGAAATCACAACACGACTTATTCGAAAAACCAGACCCAATGTCAACTTCAATTTACGGACAACTTCCTGAAGATGACTCGTATAAATCTTCATCACATTCTGAAGTAACGACGACTGAGTTACTGACAAGCTCGGCAAGAAAAATGACGGAAGATTTCTTAACAAAAGAAAGATCAGAACATCAGAAACATAGCGATGCTACCTTCTTCAAAGAAGCTGACGAACATTTTGAGAAAGCAATCGAAGAGCATAAGAAGGTTAGCGGATCCCAAGTTATTTCAAACATAACAGCGAAATACGAACTTGACTCGAAATTCCACTCTAGTTCAAGTCACTCTTCGAAAGAAGAAAGTACAATTACGTTAAAGGATATTAAATCTGAAACTAAAAAAGTGACAGAAAGCAGTTCATCAAGCAAACAGGAAACAAAATTCGAGAAATCTGAAGTTACCAGTGAAACTAGTAAACCATCCAAAGATCCTATCGAGTCTTGGGGAAAGCCACTAGGTCTGCCTAGTCCGATTGGAGCCCCAATGCAAACAGATGGCAAGAGCACTCCTAAAAAGCAAGCAAGTTCAACAGTATTGAACAAAAATAAGATCAACCAGGAGAAGAGCAAGGAAGCGAAGAGTCGCGCATCAGAGTCTCCCAGTAAGAAGAAAGCTCCCGCGCCTGTCTACATGGAGCTGACATATGTTCCACATCACGGCAACTCATACTATTCAGCCATTGAATTCTTCAAACGTGTCAGGGCTCGTTACTATGTGTTCTCTGGAACAGAGCCATCGAAGGAAATCTACAACGCCCTGCTCGATGCCAAGAAGACATGGGAAGATAAAGATTTAGGTAAGATGATTTTACTGCAGGTTCTAACCAACTTGAAAATGTATATTTATGTTCATTTTATGTATGATCATTGTCTGTTACTATTATATTTAATAACATTACTGAAACCAAACTCGCAATTTTCTAACTTAAATTCCACTTCAGTTGTGAAGTACTAATGAATTACTCTCTAACTTTTTGGTTATGATCATTGCAGAAGTCACCATTATCCCAACGTATGACACCGACGTTCTTGGCTACTGGGTGACAGAGAACGAGGAAGCTCTGGAGAAGTACAAGATCGACCTCTCGCCGTCTGCGTCACGGTGCACCATCAACCTTCAGGATCATGAGACATCGTGTGCGGCCTATAGACTCGAGTTCTAGGTTTCGGGTCTATTTGTAGCCTTCTCATCGAAGAAGTGAGCCCCTTCCGCGGAGTCGACGCTTATGAACCGAATGAACCAAAGAAAAGTGTAATTGTTGTTGTAGAATAAAAAGGCTGTGATAATGAAAGAAGTGCTCGTAAGCATCGACTCCTGTGGCCACTACTTCGCGTGAGAGCGTTTGCAAATAGATGCCGAGTTTTTGTGATATTTGAATGCAATTAACAGACTGTTAAAGAGTTTGATAAAATCTTAGTTATTAATGAACGTAACGATAACCAATGCGATAACGAAAGTGCTGGTGTCAATGTGTTGTGCTACCCACGGCCGAGTCGTAACTCCCAAACTGACAGTGTCCTGACCACATCCAATTGTAAAGTCAATAACCAATTCTCGACCTAAGAACAGAGACGTCCATTTTTTTCTAAAATACAACTGTTTTCTAGTAGCTTGCCATTTAAAATATATTTCTGATGATGTTTTAAAATTTGGTCTTATACAAAACTGTAGTGCTTTTATACATGAATATTTAGCGTAACCAGTCCATTTTGTTTAGCCAAAACACCGCTTTGCGATCAAAATTTTTGGGGGGATGTAAAAGAGAAATTATTTTGCTATCGCCATTTGTAATTTACAAATTGTACAAAATATCTTAGCGGCAATTCTTTTATTTAGCGTAGTCGCTTAAAAAGGACGTGATTAACAAATGAATGTCATTGTAACTGACGCTAACGTAAACCTGATAGTACTTTTATAAAGGTTTAAATAAAGATATACTTATAAACAAATTGTCTTAAAAAGACATTCTTAAAATGTAAAGTCGCTCGTCGAGGCTAGTGCTGCGTGCGCTAGTTTGTATTAATATTTGTTAGATGAGACTTATTATTACGACTCTAGAACGACAAAGATGACTTCTCGTGACAGCCTGTACCTCGTAAGTAATCCAGTTAGATGTAAGGAGTGACGTTTTTCACATTTATTTTGAACTCGAGCTTATTTCCCTGCAACTTTGAACAGACGAGTGGCAGCGATCGATGGTAGCACGGACGAGACTTTATATGTACCCGACGCACGTTGTTGTCGACCTCAGATTCTACATCACGCTAACGAAATTTATCTTCTAAGCTATTTTCGAATACGTTGCGCATAATATCACAAGCTAACGCAACATTCCATTATCGTGACAACGTTAAGCGTAAACTTCAACAGAAGAATATAAGATTTTAGACACAGATTCGATTATAATGGAAGAATCCTGCAACTTCGATGCTAATTGGATGTGTGTCCAATATGTTTATATTCGTGTTGAAGTGTGAACGACAATCGTTCGTTGCCACATTACTGAAGACATCTGTGTTATTCTAGACCAACAGTGAGCCTAAAACGATAGAGAGCTTAACCATTATAAATAATAAATGTTTTAGTAGAAAAACTATAATTAAAGATTTCATTATATTTACCTCTGTTTAAGTTGATACATTGCTTGTTGCGTCGAGGTATAACATAGTTATAATTACGTGTTATATAAATTTAACTCATTTCCAAAAGATAATTATTGAAGTAAAGAGATTTTTGAATCTCTGTTTCTATTACGTTGGCATCTATATATATATTATATTTTCGGTCTGTTGTATTTTGTTTTAAATTTCTAGTCGTGGCGACCCAAATACTTATAAAAATCGTTATAGTCTTTATAAATTCGTTCCTATTCAGATGAATTGTTTTAAGCGTTTTTCTAATAATAATTGTTTTGACGAAGATGAAATCCTCATGTATTATAGATAAATATCCTCTCCATTAGATTTCCGATTCGTTTCCAAGTGTTATGTTCGGATGTGAGCGAATGATAATGATCCATAAATGATTCAGCATATAGTGTGTAAGCAGTGTTCGAGGCTTTCCTCCGACACACGGCAGGCGAGCCTGTTCCCCTCGATTCAATATTAATGTTTAACATCTTGTTGATGGCAGTGCTCACTTGCTCGTGTTTCCACATTACGTTGTCCTAATTTGCCAAATATCCAATGAAAATGTTTGAGTCAATTAATTTTAAGTCATCCATAGATATAAGTGGATTAATGTCATACAACAATCGCTTACTTCGCCAACATTTCTTATTAAATATAGAAAAATAATAGCGAAAACAATTCGTACTCTGAACGCACCAGCACAATGTAATAACATAACAAAAAAAACTTTAAAAAAATGTAAACGAAAAAAAAAAGAATACATTTTTTTATTTTATTTTTTATGTATGTCAACGAATGAGTTTTTATTTTATAGTTTAAAAATACATAATTAATATAGTATGTGTTTCTGTGTGTGGATTGATGTGAGCACAATATTGTTTCATTACGTGGTTTATGCTTTAGGTAGTTTGGATGGGACTAAACAGGGATGTGAGAATACCTTGTGGGATGGGGTCTGAACCGATGCTACTGCCGTTGTTACCACCATTGGCTTCCAGTCAATTCTAGGAATAAGCAGCGCTTTTACATCAACACGCTGCACAAATATCTACATTATTTTAAAGATATAAAGCTCAGATTGTGTGTGACACATCTTTAAAATAATGCATGTATTCTATTTTTGAGTACATCGGTGATGACGACTTTAAAAGCTTCGAACAAAATGAGATTTTGAGTATTTTTTTTAACTAGGCTTTGTTATGTTCAGCCGGCATCCACTGTCTAGCTGGCTGTAAAGCCTGACCCTAAAGTTTACTATTGTATTTTATAGCTAGAATTCTAATTAATGCATATTATTAGGAATATTAAAAATGTTATTAAAATTAAGAATTGTATCAGCTTAGTGAACATCAATAGCTCTGAGAAATAAACCATTATTGAAATTATTAAATGTTGTATTCTTCCAAGTGTGGGTTTAACATGTTTAGTTGTGTAGCAGATGACATGTCTTCTTAAACGTAACTGTCGCAGTTTGACAGACAAGCTGCAGGTGACCTGTTAGTTTGTGTATATTACCTCAAATAGACATTGAATAAAACTGAACAATTTGCCAACGTAGAACCTGCTTTACCTCATTACTGTCTCTGGACTCCTAGTTATATATAAGATACATATATATTATATATAAGACAATGATTGCTACTATATATAACACTATCATACAACAAGGTGCACCGTATGACTGTGTCATTGTCCAATAACACTTTGATCATGAGAAGGAATTGGAATGTGTGTGAGGCTGAGAGCTTGGCTTGAGATGGTTTTAAGATTTGAAAAAGTAACATCATATAGGAATGAAATTCAAAATGGATTTGTTGTAGATAGGTTTCAATGTGAGAGTGCCGCTTTGAAATAGAGCGTGTTTCAATACAAGACCATTTTTACGTATCAAAATTACACATGAATATAGAATCTGGTCATTTTGTAAACAAAATATAAACTAGTTTATTTACAATAGAAATGACGTCACGCTCTGTTTTAATATGGTGACAGTGAATGCTTAAGTGGTGCTAGCAACCGACGCGTCGATAATTAGTATTGAATTGTTGCACCCTGTGTCTGATGAGGGTGGAAAATACAAAAAGAAAAAAAACAATAGTTAAGCAAAAGACCACTTTTTTTATTCCAAAAATGTACTTATTTCAGGATTTTGTAGTAATCAACAGATCTTTACCGAATATCTAGGTACGGTGTGGATAAAACTTAATAGTAGCCCCTACAAAGAGTTTCAGAGCAACGGTTTTTTAAAGATATATGTGGGTTAAAATTAAAAGAAAACTTTCTTTGAAATTTTTTGATTATAAAATAAGGTGACCGTCCATTCCTTATATGGTATAGAAATCTGTGAAAAGTAACGTTACAGCAAGTTGTAGAGGGCGCTACTGTCGAATTAGAGTTTCTATCTCACTTTAATAGCATAAAACTTCCAACTCTCTTGTATATTATGGGAAGCTTTGTAACATGATTGTATTATTTGAAAATTTCCATAGGTATTTTCTTTTTTCCATGAGTTTTTACACATTTGAATGTGTACGAAAAATGATTTTTCGGTGCAAAATTATCTTCCACTTTCATCGTTTACGGGGTGCAAACACGCTTAGTGGTAAGTAAGACTGAGATGTATGTTAAACAGCTAAGTTGGGCTTCGATCCGTTGCAAGGTAAACGCTGTATACGCCTGTACCTATTTATAATGTTATTTGTTAAAGGAATGTTGGTTTGGTCAAGTTTCAGTGCATGCTATAATATATAAACTATTTCAAATAAGTTATTTAACATAATTTTGTTCGACTGTACGTAAATGCTTAAAACGATCACTGTCCTTTACTAACAGCTGATATTAGAAAGAGATGGCAAGATTTATCTTCAATTGTTATTAAATTCTGAACGTTTCTAAAAGTAATATTATTACCGGTCAATGCAATTAGGTATGTATCTTATAACAATAGCAATAGAATACAGAACCAGTTGGCATAGATCAAACTCTGCACCGTTTATTTATGAAGACAAATTCTTGCTTTCTCTTCCTTATATAGAAGAGATACTCTCAAAGTTTCTGTTCTACAAAACTAACACTTATGTACATTGATTTAAATCGCTTTATCGCATGCACTGAAATAACTTGGAACGCTTGCTTGCTTATCTAAAAACCTGCCAATATAAGAAATGTTTAATAATTTAAATAATGTTACGCCCTTAAGGGAGTTAGGTGCATATTAATTATGATTATAATCATTATTATAGAAATCATTATATTTGTCATTGTATCGATCACATCGCTGTAACTCATACGGAATGTTTGGTGGTATTGTATGAATCATTGAGTAATAAAAAATGTTTAAAAATGTATTTGTTTTTTTCATTATTTTCATCTCCTTCTTTTTTATGGGACAAATCGGCAAACGAGCAGACTGATCACCTGATGGTAAGCAATTGGCGTTGCCCATGGACATTTGGAAGACCAGAGGCGTTACAAGTGCGTTACCACGTTATGGCAAGGTTAGGGCTACTGACATGGAACGGCGCTGTGCTGTTGCAGAAATTATTGTCAAAATGAATCTCCATTCATAACACCCTTCATGCACCACCTACTTTTTGCAGCCAAATGGGCGAATCTTGTATTGACGTCACACTTTCTAGTGCGGACGTTAGTTTGGATAGGTGGCGTGTCCTACCAGATGCGTCGTGTAGTGATCATCGCCTGATCGTGGACGAATTTGTTTCAACATTACCCCAGGGTCCAACATACTGCAATGATAGCTGTAGATACAAGACTAAGGGCGCGAATTGGAACTTATTTAGTTCATTATTTGCATATCAGGCCAAAGATTTCACTCGCAAAGATCTCTCGGCCGAGGAGGGCGCTGAAATCATGTCAGATGCCTTTACTTATTTTGCCGACATTACTTTTGGTCGCGGGTCCTTGACAAGTACGCGTAGGATTCACCATGGTGCCAATGTTCGACAGTGGAGTTGCGATACGAGCAGTCGGCCCGTCACATACTCTGGGAGTGTGATCTCTGGCAATATGAACGTAACACTATGTTAAATAATTTAATTGTTTCGTCAGGTGTAGTTTATTATACGGACCTTGTGGAATCTAGAACGAATTTCCGTGCGTTTAGGCGTTTTTGCCATACCTATTATTGGAAGCAAGTATAACAGCTCACACATAGGACCCACTTAGTTTTTAGTCAAATTTCCGTGGTGCTTGGCGACTGGGCTTCACCCAGTTGTACAGTCTCTTCTTTGTGCCTTTAGGCTTAATTCATTCTGTCTCCTGCAGTAATTCACCGAGGGAAGTGAAAACCATAGTTTTTCTTCTTCTCCTCTTATAATATCTTCTGATTCACTTCGTTGCGGGAACCAAGACAGTTACTCATGTCCCTGGGACGCGCCGGACTTCATTGTTCTGGTGTTTTCATGGTTGTATCTACTGTAGATCCTGGCTTACAGGAGTTGCAGCGGTTTTGGGAGGTTGTGGCGGGCTTGTCCCATAAAAAAAAATATGAACGTTACACTATGTTAAATAATTTAATTTTTTCGTCAAGTATAGTTTATTATACGGACCTTGTAGAATCTAGAACAAATTTCCATGCGTTTAAGCGCATTTGCTATACCTATTATTGGAAGCAAGTATAACAGCTCCCACATACGACCCACTTAGTTTTTAGTCAAATTTCCGTGGTGCTTGGCGACTGGGCTTCACCCAGTTGTACAGTCTCTGTGCCTTTAGGCTTAATTCATTATATCTCCTGCAGTAAACTATAACGTTTTTTAGAAGTGAAAACTATCATTTTTTTCTTCTTCTCTTCTCAGCGGTTTAGGGAGGTTGTGGCGGGCTTGTCCCATTAAAATTGTGTTACCAGCCTTTGGGGATTAGGAATTTGAGGATGAGTGGGGATTCAGCGAATGGGGAGATTGGGAAAGGGAAGGTAATTTGTTTCTTCAACCTATGTATCCACCCACAAAGAGGTAGGTTAACCTGCTAATGTCTGTTTTATGAAACGAAAAGCCCCGTCATTTTGGGCTCCATTTCGAGTTACATAACATAACATAACATCACGCCTTTTATCCCCGAAGGGGTAGGCGGAGGTGTACATTATGCCCCCGGGTACAATTCCAGACTCCATGCTACTACTGTGATTTTTTTTTCGAACTCGTGACCCCTTGCCCAGCTGTCGCACTTGCGACCACTCTGCCTATGAGGCAGTCCATTTCGAGTTACAGTTCACAAAATCTTTAGTAATTTGTTATTCCAAACAGTAATTGAACTCTTGCTCAGTAAAAAGACACAAAGAAGTAGTAAAAGAGTAGGTACCTACCTATTTCTTTATTTGTGAATATGTACAGCGTACATTATTATTAGGATTAGCTGGTATGTACAAACAGATCCTGATACATTTCACTTTGACAGCGTAAAAAATAATAAAAGCAACAAAATAGGTTTACAAACATTTAATAACAGCACAAGGTTTTTCAATTTAAATGCATTACTATTATACATTAGAACGATCGTATACAATAGTTTTTGGTGGCTTAAATCTAGACTATCCACATAGGCAATAATTATGAACATTAAACGAAGCATAAACTGAAATATAATTATATTAGTATAATATAGCATACTTAACATCATGTTTTTTACTACGCTTTAGATGTTCCCACAGTATCAACCCGAACACATTGTAAAACAATTACCTTTTTGTCCTATTTAATAGATATAGACACAATTTTACGACTCTATACTAATACAGAATTTCGAACAATTTCGAACCCGACAAGGGTTTTAAAAAATACACATCTAAAAATATTTCCAATTTACACAATTATTCGTAAAACAATCTCGAAATGGTCCCTTTATTAAAATCAATAAAATAGATTCAAACGTACATTACCTACTTATTTATAATACAATGTTCTATTTATGGGTTCATATATTTTTTTAAATATTCCATCACAAATATATCATACATAATTCACAGTCATACAAGCAACTTCCGATCTAAGCGTAAAATGTAACATAGTAGATAATTTTAAATCTTAAATTATTCTTATAATATAAATATTGTATTCAATATATACATATATTAATATCAATACATAGTATAAAACAAAGTCGCTTTCGCTGTATGTCCGTATGCATGCTTAGATCTTTAAAACTACGCAACGGATTTTGATGCGGTTTTTTTTAATAGATAGAGTGATTCTTAAGGAAGGTTTATATGTATAATACATGCATATTGCACCCGTGCGAAGCCGGGGCGGGTCGCTAGTACTTAATAAATATGGAATGATATTTCACAACACTATATTTTAAAAGAGAAATATATTTTAATAAACAAGGCAACTCAATTCTTAAAATGCTAATGGCATTTGGCACAACCAAAAAAATATTTAGAAGTTTTCGAAAAACGAAATGGCTACCTATGCAAGGATACATCCAGGATTTACAGTTCGAAATAATTAAAAAAAATATTCGGGTCCTAGGGTTTTTTGCACCCTTTTGGCACCTATTAAAATAAAAATATATATAATTAAACTAAAATTCTAAAGCTTTGGAATGTTGATGTGATCACATTTTTATCTATTTACGTACGAAATTACGTATTTACAATATTCTATTAAAACTCGTACTTATATACTAAAAGACACAATTATTTCATAAATAAAATTTAATCTATGGACGTCAAACCAATTAAATTATTAACAATGTTTACTTTCTTATTTATTGGTTTTTGACACTTCGTCGTGAGCAGCATGCGCAGTCGTGGCGATATAGAGTAGGCTGCTCGGTGTAGCCGTATACCGCGCACGCTGCCCATGAGGAAGAGTCCCTCTGTAACTCGAAACTAACTACTACAACCTTTGTAGTAGGTACAATTTTCGCTCGACATAAAAAAACTGACAATTTTCACAAATCGTCATTCAGCAAACTGTATTAGCAATATATTTGTTTATAAAATTAGGAAGAAGTTATCCGCCAACGACAGATGCTGGATTTATGTGAATTTTCATTACTAAAATACAATACGGCAAATTACTTCTAGCTAATATTATGGCTGCACGTACACTTTCAATTCTCTTATTCTATTTCGAGGCAGTGTTAGCACAACTCTTTTTATTGCGATCTAATTTAATTTATATGTATGTAGTTTTTGCTTAAGATATGCATAAATTCTGGTTGTATTTTACGTTTATTAAAATAAGGCTCATATTGGCACATTGTACTTAGTGTTAGAAAAGAATAAAAGACAACATTTAAAACCCGAGTTCGAAAACAAGAATTCAACAGCATCATTCTCTAGAATATGAACGTATTTTATTAATCTTTACTTTAAACAAGGGTGGAACATAGTAAATGTTAAAAAAGTAATAGTGAAAGGTAAGTTAGTAAATTGAAAACAGACATAATAAAGTAAAGAAAATAGTTTTAAGAATAACAAGAAAGTCTCAGTTACATGAACGTAATTAGTGGGCCTTTAAACGATGTTTTCGCAGGGCCCCATAGATTCCAAGTCCACCCCTGTCACTTTGAAATATAATTAAAAAAATAACGGTTTCTCATTCACGATCATTGCATTTGTTTCGATCAAAGACTAGAAATTGTAGCGTCTAAAAAATAAACACTACGCAAGCAACATTTTTTAATTATAAATTATATTAATGTAATGTTCAATTTGAACATGAACAGTACAATACTGCTACATATATTATGAACAGCCGCTCTGTTCAATTCCTTTGGCATGGACATACCTATATAAGATTGCAACCATGGCATTATGCCTTACAATTACTTAAACCTCATATCATCAGGTTTCCTAACAAAGTAGGCCACCTTGTCTATCGGTACTCTGTACTCGTGCATCCATCGGTTGCCTTTGCGTAGAGATCCGTCGATACCATCCTGCCATAGACCGGTTGGGAGGTACACTGGAATAAGAAATTGAAGCTTTAATTTTTAGCACGAACTGTTTTGTTATAGTCAAAAATACCATTTTATTAAGACAGTCATATAAAATCTCAACTGAAATCTTAATAAGTAATAACAGTCTTCGAAGAATGCTTTACTTATTTTGATAAATAGAGAAAATATTCTGTATCTAAAAAACTGCCAATAATAATTTATCAACATCGTCATCATCAGCATCACCATCATCAACTCATATCAATGGTGGACATAGCCAGCGAAGTCTGAATACACTTTCTAATATCAATTCCCCTTATTAAACAATCTACTCACCATCCCTAGTAGTCTGTCCTTGTTCAAGAACGGGTGCGACAACAATGTCACTGCCGATGGCGAATTCATCCTTTAATGCACGGGGAGCGTCACCAGCACCCAGCAGCCACAGCGGCCGCAGGAGTGGCAGACCTGCTTCTAGAGCTTCGCGTTTATACTTCAACAGTAGTGGTGTTACCTGTAAATACAGAATTTCTGTTGAGAATCTGTTAATCAATCAAGCAAGAGGTACCTTGCCATTCTTATCAAAGTTATCTAGTTCTTACCATTCTCTGTCGCAATGACGTCAGATTCTTCGCCACTTCCAAAACTCTCTCATCATTATACTTGCTCGGGAGATGAGTGAACTTCATCACAGGCAAGAACGTCGCCATTTGCAGCCATCTCATGTATAATTCCTTATCCGGTAACTCTATTCCATTCTCCTGAGTGCTATTTGTAATGTCCACCATTCCTTTGGAGGATGGAAGGAACTGTTCACTTCCAGGCCAGTAAATATCCCCACCGACAGCTCCAGGCATTATGAATGGAAAACCATTCACACCGTACGTCAACATAGTCGGTATAACCAGCTTCAATGCTTCCCATGTAGACTCAAATGGTGGAAGAGAAACAAAAATAGGAGGACGAGGTAATGACACCGCTGAAGACACTCCAATGATATTAAACATCTTCTCAAACGTCTTAGTGAAGATCTTCTTGTATTGATCGGGGTTAGTCAGAAGATGCTCACAACGGAAGTAATGAGGCATGTCGTAAGCTGTACCCAAGTCCAAAAAGAAAGAATCAATGTGGTACTCGTCGATCACTGCCTGTAACTTCTCCAAAAACCAAGGCACTGATCTGTTGTTTGTGATGTCTAATACTCCAGCACTTGCTAAAGACTTGAAACGAGTTAAGGCTGGAATACGTCTGTCACTATTCCTTTCACTGATCAACAATCTCTTTTGAACACATTCTGCGAAATTCTTACTCTCAGTACTAATAAATGGTTGGATGGTAAACGCAACTTTGAAACCACGTCTGTGTAATTTATCGACAGTTGTATTTAAAGTTTGGAATCGACTCGTGTCCACAGATAAATCACCAATTGCATTCTGCCAATGTTCATTGATCAGCACATGTCCCTGTTTCAAGAATCCAAGATTGATAACATCTTCCGTGTATTTAGAAATCGTTTCTGCCTGTAATTCTTCTTTAAATCTTGGAGCTATTTGCCAAACTGGTTCAGATATAAGCGATTCTAAGGTTTGCATATCTGCTGGTTTTAATCCGTCCCACAATGGAGCTCGTCTATGACTGTGGATCGAAGAATGTAATGACGCCATGTCTTCAGACGTACAAATGTTATACTTCATTTCAGGGAATTCGGTCAATTTATTTGGATAAGCAAATTCGTGGTACATAGCTTTGAGACAGATATGCTTGCCTCCTTTATTAACGGAGACGTGAAGAGGTGTCTCATCATCCACAATAATGGCAGCTCCCTTGGAATTTATGAAGTATCTTGTAAGGACGTTGCCCCATTGGTTCTTTTGCATGTCTCCTGTGATGAAAGGAGTGTAATCTAATGAACCACTGTCCAAAGGCCAGGTTAGGTTGGAGGATAGACCACCTCCAAACCAGTGCACTTTCGTTGCGCCCCAGTCGAAGCAATCGTTTGGATAGACATCTGTAACGAAATAACTTGATCTTTAATCAATCTTGTATGGAGAAAGATAATTAATTTATAGAATTTTCGAGTCTTGCTGAATAAAGAGATTTTGACTTTCACTTTGACTTCAGAAAAATCATGTTACACGTGTACTTAAAGAGTTCATGCTACTGACCAGATCGTAACGCCTTCCAGTGCACAGAGTAGCAGGTAGTATTATCAACGCCAGGGTCATGAGGCAGGGACTTCAAGTAGAACCGAAGAGTATGCAGCCATTCCAGGCATTCAGAGCCATCCTTACGACGGTGTTCAGGTAAACATGGATACGCTTTCATTTTGCCCTGGATGTTAACCGCTGGAAATAGAAATAAGATATTATTGTAGGAATAACGAAATAACCGAAAATAGGTTTTTTGTAGGCATCTGTAAACCATCCAAAAGTCTTAAAAAACCGATGTATCCATGTATGGACATATCACAAAATCAACCATCACTAAATATCAATAGCTATAACACACAAATCACTTACCTAGGCTAGCCCTAAGGATCTCCACATCATCCTTGTTGTAGATGCGAATGAGTCGCTTTGGTTCGTTAAACTGCACATTGTCAAAGTATGCCTTGGTGAGCGCCTGCTGATGGTACAGCACGTATGCGAAACCCACGAAGAACACAATGGCCAGGAACATCAGACCCACGAACGCACGGAGTTTATAGTCTGTCGGCTTCTTACGGATCTTCTGGGGTATGCTCTGCCATTTGATAGAAGTAATTAGGTTTTTGGAGTCAAAATAAATTAAAGTTTACTTCTTTTTTTATTGACAAGTGAACATAGCAAATTAACAATTACTTGGGAATAGTAATCATAGACTCAGTGAAATGTTGAACTAGGAAAAGTATCGAGGAACAATTTTTATACAGAAAATAAGCAATTAAAGATACAAATACTTAAGTAGTTAGGTTTATCAAAACCTTATTCAAGGTTTTGATAAACCTGTACAAGATTTTAAAGTGGTTACTGTAAACTAATTAATACTAACTGATTACCTACAGATAGGGACTTAAATGTTTATAAGTATGACACGAAGAATAATAACTATCTCTATAGTCTACCTGTAATTTCTCCCGGAGTAGACTGGCGAGGGAGTTGACAGAAGTGACAGAATTACTTGGAGAGTAGTCATCGTCGTCCATACTGAACTCGGAACGGCCAAACCGTCGAGGGGCCGTGGACTTGCGGCGGGGGGAGCGGAGGGGAGTCCTGGAAGAAGAAAACAATAGTTTGAGTGTGTTTGGCAAATGTTTTAAAAAATAAACTAGGCGTGGGAATCGAAGTAGAATACACACATAATATCATAATATCACGCCCTTTTATTCATGAAGGAGTAGGCCTAGACAGAGGTATATATTACGGGACTTAATGCCACTGTACAAAGAACACAATTGCCTACTAGATAAAATATTTAAAAAAATATAATTAAAGCATGACTCGTCGTTTTTTGTTCTGTTAGTTTTTTGATAGGACTGCGAATTTGTATTGTAACTTTCGTGAGACATACTAAACTCAATATTCTTAGCCCTAATAAATTGTTATGTTTTCGGCTTAGTCACGTAGTAATTCGACGAGGAACTCGACTAGTTTCAAGCCATGCTAGAGGCTCATATTTATGAGCAGCATTTCGTGACCCGCGACGCGGCGACTGTCGCGCTGCTACTACTACTACTAGAAACTAGTCGAGTTCCTCGTCAAATTACTACGTGAGTAAGCCGAAACATAATAATTTATTAGGACTGCGAATATTGAGTTTAAAAAATAATCTCATAGGATAATATCCGTGAGACATCAAGACGACAATTTTAATAACAAACTATGTATCTAGTCATTTCTAGAATTCAAGTAAAAACAAAACATAACCAAACTCACACATTATGACATTAACGACATAAAAATAAAAATCTTAAAATAAATAAAACTATCAAAAATATTTAGATGCCGCGACGTAACGTAAGATAATAATGGAAGTGCCAAGAGACTGAGAAAACAAAAGAATGTCTAGGTAAAGTGTCGCACGCCGCGATAATGAGGAAACTAATTTACTCAGCTGTATCATTTCGTTGACAGTGTAATACTGTGTTGAACTGAGTAACTGTGATGGCACAGTAGAATACATTTCAGAAGAGTGCAAAACGCTTGGCATCACACTTAGGGGCTTACTCTTAAAACCAATCTCAATGTCAATACAATTTCAATCCAATAAAATCACAATAATTATTCAATGTCAAAACTGTACAACCCCTTCCGTAACGGTTGAAATAGCATTCAGAGTACGGAATATAAAGACAAACTCAATACCATTTAGTTCATTCAATATACACGCAATACTGATGCAATGGGCGCTAGTGTAGCAACTCAAGAGTATGAAATGTCACAATACCAATGTCGATCGATCGGGATCGGATTCAAGAATAAGCTCCTTGTTGTGGGTAACCACCCATGGAGTGTCTTACCCGTTCTTCTCCCAACAAACGTCTGTTTGAGAACGAAGAACTAGCTTCAGTGACGTACAACTAAAACTGCCTGCTTTTTTTTTTTTTTTTTTTT